GCTGAAACGGAGAGGAGGGAAGGTCACTTGTGTGCGCTGTAAACAAGGGCAGAGCCAGCGGCTCCCGCGCTAGACAGATGCTGGTGCTTGCTACGTAAATGGGTCGGTTATCTGCAAATTTTCTATTTTTCTAAATAAGGAGACAACTGCTGTGCAGGACTCCTGTTCCAGAGGAGCATGTACAGGGGCATCCTTGAGGATGAAGCATTTCTTACCTCCATGAGGGTCGGGTTCTCTGCCCATTGCTTGATTTTGCGCATGCATCAATGCAGTGCGTGTGAGCGGAGCAAACTGGGGCAGCTGCCCCATCCGCAGCTGCAGGCCCAGCCCCAGCTGTGGCTCCTGTGGGATTGCTCCATCCCCAGGCCAGGCCTGCTCCTGGGCATCCCAGCTCATCCCAGCTCTTGCAGACCAGGACTGCAGTCCACAAAAGCGGCTGAACGCGGTGCGGGGCCTGGGCTGTCCTGGGGCAGCAGAGACGGAAACCACGGAGGCAGCAGCGCTGTTTCCTGCAGAGCGCGCAGCCCCCAAGGACTCCAACAGCCCAGGAATGTCAAACTGCAGCTGAAAGTGGAAGTCACTTTACAGAGGGATTGTCAAACCTTGAAACAAGTGTCAGACCCGGCAAGGCGGAGGGTGCCTGCGCTGCCCAAGGGGCCACCGGCCCAAGCCGCTCTCCTCCTTGGGGAACGCCAGCCCTGGAAAGCACCAAGGAAAAGCTGGAGGCTGCAGTGAGTGAACGCGACCAAACCCATCAAACGGCTGCAGAGCAGGCAGGGAAAACAAACAAATGAAAAATATGGGGGGGGAAGCAGAGCCAGGAGGGTGCCGGGGAAGCAGCTCCGAGAAATGGGAGCCGGACGCGTGGAGTCGCAGCTCTGCCGGCCCCGGAGCCGCCGCTGCTCCGAGCGCTTGGACCCAGCAGTGCCCAGGAGCAGGGCCAGCACATGAGCAGGATCCCTGCATGGATCAGCGGATCCCTCCTGGGAACCGCCTGCCCCACAAGCAGGGGGAGCGGAGCCGGAGCGCCAGCCCACTGTGGCAGCTCCTATGGTCCCGGGCCACACACGGGCCTGCGGGTCACCCAGTGCCCAGCCCGCAGCTTCATCAAGGTGCAGCTTCCTGCCCCAGGCAGCAGCGCGGTCCAAGATACAAAATTCAGGAAAAAAAAATTACTTGAAAAGAATTATTTCTTGGGAGAACAATTCCCATTCGTTTCCAGCCCATTAACTCCTCCCTCCTCTGCAAAACCCATCAGCTGCCTAATGGA